GAATTTGAAGTCAGTTTTTGAAAATTCAAAATGGCGGATCCAATATGGCGAACAGATTTTTAAACAGAACTAGATATTTATGAAACTTGGAATTTTCGATCTTCTTTAGTCGCTGAATAAGAATCAGAAATTCTTGTTTGAACTACATTCAACGTTACTCATTGTCAGGAAGAACGCCGTGGACTTCTTTGTAATAAGAGAAAAATAATTTTTGGGTTTATGGACATTTTCGAAAATATTGCTTTTCCCTTTTGAAGATTGAGGGCGTCAGTTATACATTAAACTTACCTGGTATTGAATTTTAAAAAGCTCTTGATATTCTATAAATAAAAGAAAATTAAAACCAATACTTATCTGCTACTACAGTCTAAATGTAACTTCTTTAAATTATTATAAAGATTAAAAAACATGCATAAGACATGAGGCGTATACTTATTACATGTATTTTACATGTGAGCAGATACAGCTGATGAACTGACTGACATCTACAAATTCTGTATGAAATTGATTCTCAAACTTACCTGCGAGTTTATATGGTTCTTTTAATTATTAGGTTCTTGGTCTTTATTAATAATTCGCAAGTGAGTTCAAGCACCAGTTCCTTATAGTATCTGTAGATGTCAGTCACCTCAGCAGCCATATCTTCTCACATGTAAGATTCATCTTTAAAATAATAAAGTAGACGCCTTATGTTTTTTGAATATTTTTTAATCTTTATAACACATTTAAATCAGTTGTATTTATACTGCAAGAGCAGGTAAGTATTGGTTGTGCCACATAGCATACATTTGTAGATGTCAGTCAGCCCAGCAGCTATATCTGCTTACACGTAAGATCGAATCGGTCTGTCCAGAATCGGCGTAGTGGAGTATAATACATTTAAATAGTATAATATTTTAACGTTTTAATAGTATAGTACATTTAATTCAGTTGTATTTATACTGCAATAGCAGGTAAGTATTGGTTTTTACTTTCTTTTTTTTACAGTATAAGAAGAACTTTTTAAAACTCAATATTAGGTAAGTTTAATTTTAAACTAACGCCATCATTGGTCAAAGGAAAAAACCTTCAAAAATGTCGATGAACCCAAAAAATATTGTTCTCTTATTACAACAAAATTTTAAGCGTCCAGAATACAATTTGGAAACAGTAATTATAGAAGAAGAAAGATTATTTGCTCTTCATTTAGAGAATTTAATCAAAGAATCTGTTGACACCCAAATATTCTTTGAAAGTTTTGATAGCTTAAGTTTTAATGAAAATAGTGCCAATCCTGATGCAGTTCTTGTTGATGAGGATTATGAAAATGATTTTGAAGTCTTGCCAATAAAAAAGGATGGCAAGAAAATGAAAGTAGATGTAGATATTGAATATAAAAGGAATGCTGTAAACTTTTGGCGTTCAGGAAAGAAAACAAATTTGTCCTTCAAAACAGTTCAACACAATTTTAATAAAGTTTCAAACCCGAATACATTGTATAAATGGGAGGAACAAATTAAAATGGGTGGTACAAGAAGTGACAAATTATTAAAAATTTCTAATTATGTCTTGGATCAATTTAAACTTGCCACTGAAAAATCGCTTCCAGTCCATGATAATGATTTGAAAAGATGGGCTCTACAGGCTCGTGAAAAAGTTGATTTGTCACTTAAATTATTTACTGCGTCAACTTTTTGGGTGCATAATTTTAAAATCAAACATGGCATTGTGTCAAGAAAAATAAATAAGTTTGTAACCCAAAAATATGTGTCAGCAAAGGCAGAGATTATACAAAAATCTCATGAATTTGTTTCTAAAGTGAAATCAGAGGTTTTATTAGTAGGTGAGAACAATGTGTTTAATTCCGATCAATCCGGATTTAATTTAAAAACGCATGCCGGACGAACACTTGCTTTGAAAGGCTCCATGAAAGTCGAATGTTTAGCAAAGTCCTTGAATTCTTTAACTCATAGTTACACCATTCAGCCTATTGTTTCCGCTGATGGAGAGTTAAAGTCACTTATGCTAATAGTTTTACAAGAGACAGGTGGCAAATTTGGACCAATTGTTGAAAAGACATTATATAAGGCAGAAAACATCGTCGCCTTAGCGTCAAAATCAGGGAAATTGACATCAGACATTGCCATTAAATGGTTTTCTGATGTTTTCTTACCAAATGCTGGAACGAATTCCGTTCTTTTATTAGATTCTTGGACTGGCAGAACTAAAACCAAATTTGACAATATAGACAGAGAAAATAAAAGT